GCCATGGGGTGTTGTGTCATCCCATTCCACCCCATTGCCCATCCCATTGCATCCCATTGCATCCCATCCCATCCCATCCCATCCCATCCCATCCCATCCCATCCCATCCCATCCCATCCCATCCCAGGAGAGCAGCTGGAGCTGTGTGATGCCCAAAGCCATGGCACCCCCATCCCCTGCCCCACCACCATCACCCCTGTCCCAGCAGAGTCGGTGCCCTGGTGCCACCCTGGCCCTGTCCCCACACCCGACCATGGGTGTCCCCACCCCAGGGATGTCACCTGAGAACAAGGCACAGTTGTATTTGCTGTTCACGCCGAGGGAGCGGAGCTTGATGTTGGTTTTGGCCCCTTGGCGGGTGACACTGGTGACATTAAACGACTCGAAGGGTGGGATGAGGACTTCCTCCTCCCAGGGCATGACGGAGAATGGCGAGATGTTGGCGCCGTGGCAGGTGAGCACCTCGAAGAAGGTGTCGGTGCCGAACCCCTCGGCCTCCTGTCTGTTCAGGGAGGAGGAGGTGAACTGGCCAAAGTGGATGGTCCGGCCAGGCCGGGCAGTGAAGCGGATCCCTCGGACACCCCGGTACACGTGGAGGCAGCGGGGGCGGGTCTGGGTAGCCCACAGGTCATCCAGGGCCGTGGTCAGCAGGAAATGCATCATCTTGAAGTCAAATTTGTCCTGATACATCTGGTGGGAGCTCCCGTGGGTGCGCACGGCCTCGTTGAACTGACGGTACAGCCTGGTGTGAGCCGTGTACGCCCGGAGGGCAATGGCCTGTTCCTTCCAACTCAGAGACCCCCAGTACTTCTTTTCCTGCCACTCAGCAGTGGCCTTGGCCCAGATCTCAGCCAACTTGCTGTTGGGGACAAACTCGGAGCGGTTGAGCTCCGGCAGCTTCTTAAACATTCTGTCCCGGCAGCCCCAGTACTGGTCATCGAAGGCGTTGGGGGCCATGTCCAGTGCCTTCTCCTCGATGCCGGTGGCCCAGGTCACGGCCAGCAGCAGCAGCAGCAGGAGCTCCATGGTGGGCAGA